TATGACGCCCAACCCCCTACCCCCCCCCCCCCTTGGGCGTGCCATTGGCCCATTCCGCGACCAGCTTTTCATTATCACTTGACTTCAACCCTCGTACATGAGGAACGTCCCGGGCGAAAGTGTCCGAGTGAAAATTGTCTAACTCGACTGAAAAACCCCGAAGAGATGCGATGTCTTCACGGACAAAACAAAACAAAAACTGCTCTCGCAAAAATGAGAATCACCTTATCACGTCCAGACCCAAACCTTGAAACTTGAGCCATTGAGTGCAACGAACGCCGACATGTTCCACAATGGCCGACGAATGGCCGCGTTCATGTCGCCGGTGTCACACGTGATCGCCGTCATTAATGGTTCATTTCGTACCTTACAGCGAGCAGGCCGAGGTTGATGGTCTCGATCCGTGGAAGTGCATGGTCCAGGGACCTTTTCGTGCCCTGAATTCGGAGGCATTCGTCTCCTGGCCTGGCTGGAAGACTTAACGTTAGGCCTACTGTCAATCAAGATTGGTTCCATGTATTTTCGGTCTCTGAAAATTGCTTATTTCTCCGTAGAACTCGGGCCATTTTTTTGCAAAGGACATAGGTAGGGACTGTTGCTCGAGCAGACATCTAGAAATGCATGCATATTTTGGGATTTGAAGGCTTGGAAAATCTTTGCCGAGTATCATAAGAAATTGAAAGGGAATCGTGTATTTGGAGAATTGCTTTCAGGCTTTAGAGCGTGACTGAATCCTCTGCAAGTCCATCGATCGCTCATGTGGTGTTTGAAAAATTGAAACCTAGAGACCACAGCGGGGACCATGAACGTCATGCTGCAGTGCCGACTCAAACTCCTGAAATCCCCGCCTCTGAAATGTTCTCTCCGCCGTCTGACGCTCCAAGACGCCGCAAAGAAGTCGAGAGACTCCTACGGAGCGCCGAAAGTCGTCGAGCGATACCTCGCCGGGGACGGGCTCCCAGCGGGGCACGAGCTCGTCTATCGCTTCCCCAGCGCCTGGATCTACGAGTGGACCTACCGCGTCATGGCGGTCACGTCGGCCATCTCGATCTTCTATACGGGCGTTTTCGTGGGGCTTCAAGCCGGGATCATCGAGGAGTCGCCGGTGGACATTTTCTCGAAAAAATTCGAGATGACGAGGCTTGAGGCGGCCGCGTTCTGTGGACTCATGATGGTGGTCTCTGTCGGCGGTTGTGCCGCTTCTCGGTTGCTCGTCATGCGCGTGTACTTCCATCCGGGGAAAAACCTCTTCACCCTCCGGTTGCCCGGTCTGTTCGGTCGGCGGATGATCGCGGCGACCGCGGGGGACGCGAGGGAGGTGAACACGCGCGTCTTCCCGGGGATGGTCTACGAGGTCGCAAGGAAGAAAGTGCTTTTGTCGGACAAATATTTTCGCATCCCGGCTTACTTCAATCATTTGCTCGGTTACGAGACCGGCGGAGGTTTCTAGTGACCTGCAATAAAATTTTCTTTCGAATCGAATCGAGTTCCATGTGGACGGGCAAGCGGTCGAGATAAGAAAAATATCATTTAGCAAAAAAAAAAAAATGGAGACACTTCACAAACAGATCTACGAATAAATGCATTTCCTAGAGCAGTGGTCCCCAAACTTTTTGAGGCGAGGGCCGCATGCACACTTTGGTCCACTTTGAGTGGGCCGCATGCACACTTTGGTCCACTTTGAGTGGGCCGCATGCACACTTTGGTCCACTTTGAGTGGGCCACATTGAAAAAGACCCAACATTTCTGCAATGGGTAACCCATTATCTGGCCATTGATCTCGTCAAGCTACTCTAAACCGGGAAGTCCCATTAAAAAAATTAACAGCAAATCGAAAACTGCTTATTCCTACCACATCCTAATAAATTTAATAAATTTAATCACGCTTCCAACCTCTCTTAACGAAAGCAGCTACTACTTGGAGTCGGGGCTAAACGCGTCGATTTGCTGCTTTCTTGCGAGTTGCATTATCGATGAATTTTAAGACATTTTTCTTCTGCCGTATGTGGGGGTTCCGAATCTAAGGCATTTAGTAAGTGCACACCGAATTACATATGCAGCTGAGTGTGAACAGGTATTTATGTGTACATAAATATTAAGCAACGACTGAATTTATTAGTTTTCAGCGAAGGATTCAAAATCTGGGAATGAAAAAATTGTTAATCGATATTATTTATCAGTGCCGATAAAACGGTAAAGTGTGAAAATGTCAATTAATAGTAAATCATAGTGGGCCGCATAAAACCATTAAGTGGGCTACATGCGGCCTGTGGGCCGCACTTTGAACACCACTGCCCTAGAGCCTTAAACCCCCCCCCCCCCCCCCCCCCCCCCCCCCCCCCAAAAAAAAAAAAAATAATAATAATAATAATAATAATGAGATGCCGCCACATTAGCAGTATTTCGAAGATGCTTAGCTCCCTCTCAGAGGAAATTCTTTAGTCTCGGAGGATTTTCATGCTCATCCGTTCGACCCGACTGGAGGTGTGGAGAAGTCTGCAAGTCGTAAAGGAACAGTCTTCGCGGGACTCCCAAGATGAGGAAATAAAACCGCCGGGCTCGGTCAATGAGACTTCTGAGCAATTTTTCTTTTACGTGCGAACTAGCGGTAATTTCAAATTACAAATTACATTTCAAATCATGAAAGTGAGAGAATCCCCGCGAGAATCCATGCGCATGCGACCGCATCACGAAAACCTAAGGCATTCGCATTCTTTCCACGCGATTCCGGCCCTTTTTCTGTACACTGGATCCACAAACGAGCGATGGCCTTCGACTGTGTGAAGCCTTCACAGTCAAGGTCATCCCACATACTCCGACGAGCCGCGAGCATGGAGGCATGTGCGATCCCCCCCCCCCCCCCTCCCTTCCCTTCCCATTCATGCAATCGATTCCACTCGCCAGTTCCCCACACAGTCGCGTCGTGACAGTGCCAAGGAACGGTCTTGTGTCGTGGATCCGGTGATCCCCGAATCTCGTTTCCCCTTCCCTCAGAGGCAACACGAGCCCGATTGAGTTTGGTGCCGATGTGCGAGGAGTGTCCCCGTCCGTCCACTTCGCGATTGCCTTTGTGCATGGGAGATGACGATGCCGTCAAAGTGTATTTCTTATTTTTCTCCCGTCTGGTGCTTACCTATTGCGCTTCGACTACGTAAAAGAAATGCTCGGCCGCGGATTATGAACATTTGCACCAAGAGAAAGTTGCGAATGCTGCAAGGGGCTAGTGGGCGAGCATTATGAATGGGCGGTAGCTCTGAAACAAAAATACCAGAATCGATCATGCCAGGATTCGCCATGTCCATAGCGTTTTGAGACAATACAACAAATATCAGGTGTTTACCTATGAAGTTGCCGTTTTTGAACGAAAGATCAGCATACAATTTTTGTAAAGAAAAACATTTTATTTTCAATCAAAGTATTCACCCATACTATCAACACACTTTTGCCCTTTCAACGGCAGTCGGCATATTCCGCTGCTGTAAAAAAAAAAGCCTGAGGCACGAGCTGCGATAAACTCCCGGAAGACACTTTCGACAGCACCTTGCGAATTGAATTGTTTCCCCTGCAAAGAAGTTGTCCGAATTCCTGAATTTGGTCTGTTGGCGCAAGGTCTGGGGAATACGGAGAGTTTCCAACTTCAGCTCTTGCAATTTTGAGACGGTCTTCCGTGAAGCGTGCGGTCGCGCGTTGTCATGCAAGAGCATGGGAGAAGAGCGATTGATTGATTGGTTGTTTAATTGCAAGCTTATCGGCTTCGATTCGTCGTTGTCGACCTTCGCCTCGGGTCGCCCACGGGACTCATTTGCAAGATCAAAATTTCCAGAACGGAAACGATTGAACCAATACCGGGCTGTGCGTTCGTTAGTGGTAGTTGGTCCATATGTGTCGTTCATATTCCGGGCTGTCTGTGCCGCATTGGTACCACGACGGAACTCGTATTCAAAAATTATCCCAATTTTTAATTTGTCCATGTCTCCACAAAAGCTGATTTTGCACACACTAATTAAGAGACAATGTTGACTACTATCCCTGTTCAAAAAGAGAAAGAATGCATCTTTAAGACAAAAGAATAATGAAGCGAAAATATATGTCAAACTAGAGTTATCGGATGTCAAAGTTCACAATTCGTAAAAACGGCAACTTCATAGGTACATAATTATAATATATATAATTGTAAGCATAGAGCCACACCCTGAATATGAACCACCTCAGGCTGATATCAGACCGCGACGATAACGCTCCCTCTGGGATGATGACCTCTGACTCCCGAGAGTCTCGCCCTCCTCCATGCACTCCAACCTCGGAGCTGGGTGCATGCGGGGGGCACGGACTAAGGAAGATATCGCGTCGCTATTTGCTCCCTCGTGCTTTATCTCCAAGGCTCTCCAGTTGAAGAGCTCACATCCAAGCGGTACGTGGAGAGTGATGCTTCTCCTCCGTGTCTTGCTTCTCCCTGTTTACTTGTTGGTGCTTGTGTCTGCGATTGAAAGATATTGTGCGAAGAAGGCAGATTGGCGGATTTACATACACAGGACAAACGGCTAGCGAATGACGAGTTTAATTGCAGTTTACAAATCGTTACTCGATTAAGGGAATGAATCAGGCAAATCTTTACGATCCAAATGGCTGACTCAATGGAAGTCATGCTTTAATATAGATCATTTTAATCATACCCTGGAATATTTTCAGGTTTCAGTTACCTAATTCAGTACCTCCGCATGAGCGAGCGGAAGGGAATCGTTCCTCATAGGGTGTAACCCTCTCGCGAAACGCTGTGAATCCAATGGATGGAATGCCATTCCATCCGCTGGCAGCATAAAAAAAACGGCGCTACCTGTGGAAGACAGGTTTGAGGAATGCCGTGCAGTCTCGTGGTCTGTCAGTGGGCTATCACACGGCGGAGATAAGAGAATGTTAAGAGATTGTCACCAGGGGAAGCATCTCGTTTCAAAAGCAAGGAGTCGAGCCATCTTGATTAAATTTGTACGAATTGGTAGAAGCGTGCCTTGAAATTGAATAGATTCTCAAGGGCGAAGAATTCACGGATGAAACTTGCCTAACACTCCAGATGGGGGTGAGGGGAGTCTTGTTCAAAGCAGAAACTCGCGAATCCCCCAAGACGCCAATTCCTTTCATTTCCCTTCGAGCCCGTTGCAGTTATCTAACAGGGGAATCATACCCAGGCAAAAATTGTTCCAGCGTTCGATCGACGTGGAAGCTGATGCATTATGCATATCTTCCCCGGAACTCAGCAATTCGTTGTCATGAAATCCTGTTCCTTTGACTCCGACCGCCAACCTATACCATTTGTCGATTTAAAATTCTTTTTTTTTTCAACATCTTAAGACCAAGTAATTTTCTGATTCAACAGATGATATGTTGACTTAAGATAATAAGCATCTTTAAGCATCCCAAGCATCTTTATTTTTCGCATCATATTTATTCTTCGTTATTTTCCTTCAGAAAAATCCCAATTTCAGCATAAGGCTGACATTTAGGTAGAAAAACATGGAGTTGTGGACCCTGTTGCTTGGAGCGGTGCTGCTCCTCGTCCTCTACGCCTGGATGAACCACCCCAGCAGAGACGGCCTCCCCCCCGGCCCGACCGGCTGGCCTCTCGTCGGCAGCGTGCATCTCATCATCAACAAGCATCCTTACAAGTCGGTTTCTCTCGTCTTAAACGATTTAGGGTTTTTTTTTTTAAAGCTTGTTTTGAGCAAAGCGTCAGGTGCCTTCATGTCTAGACATTATACTTCCGGATTTAGAATTCTTCCTCTCTGTATTGATCCGGTGAGATTATGTGCAACGAAGTCCGGTCGCATTTTTTGGTGGACGCAATCGCCAATACATTTCTGGAATAATTGATTCTCCCAGAAATATCGACACTTTCCTGGAGAAATTACTTTTTTTTTTTTGCCTGCAGCCACCGAGCAAATGAAGAAAGAAAGAAAAGCAAACCGCGCATGCATAGGTCATGAAATGCATTACAAAATTTTGTAGTGAAAAAATTCAGATTCTTCTAGATTTTGATTTTTTTTTTCATAAAAGGGTCGTATTTGTTCCCATCCCGGCAGAGTTTTCCACGAGCTGTCGAAGAAGTACGGAAAGATCTTCAGCATCCAGATGGGCTCATACCGGATCGTGGTGCTGAACGACTTGGACTCCATAACCCAAGCGTATGCGCGGCAGGGCGATGTGTTCAGCCACCGACCGAAGGGGCCCCTCGTGTCAAAAGTCCTCCAGAACAAAGGTGGGCCTTTCAGACCGAACGCACGAACTTCATTTGGGATGGCCTTTTAGCCGAGGAGCACTTCTCCCACAATGGCATTCCGTGTAATCTTGAAGAACCGTTAACTGAAGTTTTTGACGTTCAGAGATTCCCACAGTTCTTTCCAAAGTGAAACTGATCCAAATGTCATACAGTTTCCAGCATCACTGTGAAATGATTAGTTTGCACACCTTGTTTTTGGAAAATACCTCTGCAATTACTTCGTTCCAAGAGTCAGAGCAATTCATTTACTCTCATTCTGTAACGGGCACGAGGCGCAGTCGGTAGGATTGCTGATCATATCAACTATTAATTAAGTTCAAATTACCTTAACGCGCCCCGATTCCACTACAATGAATCCCCTTCCAGGAAATCCCAGTCCGTGCCAATTCAAATTCGAGTGGGAGTAACTAAGGCGTAATTCAAGACAACAACAAAAAATTGTATTTCCAAAAAGAAAAATTAATGATAAAAAAAAGGACAAAAAAAAATGTTAGTCAAACAACCAGTCCAACCCCCTTTACAGCACAGTACAGTACAAAGGGCTGACTTTCACTTCCCTCCACATAAAACGTTGCATGTTCGGGGAAAAAACTCACGACCTTCGAAACGAATCCTCTATATCGTTGTTCCCCTGTATGTTTCTATAGAGAGAAAGGCGGCCAATTTCGAAACACCCACGATCTAAAAGGGCCCGAGTACCCCGGTCAAATCGGTACTGACTCGCTTTCTTCAAGTTCGAGCTCTTCAGGCACCTCGGGGTGAGGGATCGAGGGAGGGATCTTCCGCTGAAAGCTTGTTGGATTGGAGGATAGGTTTTGGCGATTGGACTTGATTGGAGGGACTTTGATACTCATTCGCATAATGATGATATGGCTCCTTGCCCAGTGTTTGGGTAGCACATTCGAGAAGGAAGGATCCTGCATATAAACTGTACGGAGCCCTTCTACGTGTTGGTTGACCCCAAACACTGGGTTCGCCTCCCTCCACGTGTTGATGGATGTTATAGTTCACCTCCTTCCGCCTCCTCCCCGCCTGGACTTTATTGATACCCTGGACTTGCGGTCATATGCCGGCATACGTTACACAAACATTTCTCCAAATCCTGGTGACCTCCACTTGGAGGATGTCTTATTGAATTGATTAAACGTTACTCGTAGAAATTCTGTCATCCACATTCTTCCATGTTCACGTGAGGCTTGGCGCGAACCCACGCAAGCTTCCACTCGTCCACGTATCCCTCAATAGCGCCATAACGCCAACCACGTGACAAACACATCCAGGAGTTGAACGTGGGAAGGATGTGATCCATGCGAAGGACTGAGATCCTTCTGGCGATCCCTGTCGCCAACCGACAGCCGACGATGTCTTTGAGGGTCAGATAGTACGAAGAAAGAAGAGAAAGGAGAAGTCCTACAGTACCACGAGGTCACGGCATAGAGTGGCATGACGGATTCAGGACCTCGATGAAATCTATTAACGTGGGAGAACCAAAAGACCTTCCCGTCATGACATGAAGTAAAACCGGCTCCTCGACGAGTCTTCCTCCTCTACCGCCTCCATTTCCTGTCCTCGCACTCGGGGTGTCTCAGCTCACGTCTCAGATTCCACTCTTTCCTTCTCCGTCTCCGTCTCCACCTCCACCCTTACGTTTTCCTTATGCAGGTTTAGTTTCATCCTTCGATTCCCTCCACATCCTCGTATCCCTCAATCCCACCGGAGCCAGTCCAGAAACCTCATCTGCCTCAAATTGCAAGACAAAGAGGAGAACTTCGAAGCGAATGAAGTAAGAAACAGAAGACAACCAATGAGGTCCAGTCCGATCTGCACCTGCAACCTTCGAGGGACGAGAACATCCTACATCCAATTACTCAGCTGTGCAGATGGGAATGTAGGCACCCGATCACGCCGACTGCCTTTTTGCTATTCCTGTCCCTACGCTGAACCACTTTCGACGTACGTTCGATCTCAGAAATGACCTCTCACGCTTAGACATAGTTTGATGCGAAACGTAATCTGCAGGTACTGAACCATTCTCCCATCATTTCCTATCCCCGACAACATTTGACTTTCCCTTTCTGTCCGTTTCTCATGGCAAAGTGTCCGAAGTTCATGTCCGTATTGCATCTTACTTCTATGATGGCGGAGAGGACATGTCCTTGGTGACATTTGGAAAGAAACTCAAGTTTTGTATTTGTGACAATTGTCCAGAAACCCATCTCGAGCAAACCGTATCTTCCAATTGGCTAGAAACCCATGCTGTGGACGTGAAGCAATTGTCCAGGAACCCATCTCAAGCAGAACGTGCACATTTATTGGCCGGAAAACCCTTGCTGCTGGCGCGAGACAATTGTCTGGAAACCCCACCTGGGGATTCCTTACCTTGAATTTCAGCTGGCTTGCAAGTTGCAAAGAAAATTCGTATTTGTATGAGTCCATTTGCGCATTAATTATTGAATTTCTGTAAGTATATTTTGGATATAAGAACACGCAAAAACAACATTGGCTTTGCTCATTGCATCAATGAATGACTCACTGTTTAAGAATGACTGGTGCACTTGGTGACCAATAGGAATAACCATTTTTGTCTTTCTTCTGATCTCAGCATTCTCATACATGGGAAATCAGCAAATGAGGGATGCAGTAGGAGTTCGTAACAATAAGCGAAAAACCGGATTAATATCTGTTCCACAACAGATTCATAAAGCACATTTTTTCTTCACATTTGTGAACAAATACAGCTGGATTTGAATTCTATAGCAAAGAGTTTCAAGAGATCATGAAAAATGGGGCATTTTAGGAATGGACAAGGGGGCTATTTAAAGGAATTAAATAAATTGTAATAAAAATCAAGAACAATTGGATAAATAATAAAAGAAAGGAAGGCAACGAAACATTTTATTACATTTGTTCAAAGACAATAGCATAATAAGGCGAATTAGTGCAAAATGCAATATTTATTTGAAAAGCAGGAAACTTCATAGTCAGCAGACAACTTCTCTCCCAATCTCCCAATACGCCAGCAATATTCATGCTCCATCACCCCTGAAAAATGGAAAGGAGATTTCACAGTATGAGCTACAGTAAGCATTTTCTGGCTGTCTTAGTTCAAATTTCTTTGTCTGTGTTACACCTGGATTCTAATATCCTAATAACGTATTATACTGTCATATTGCATGTTTCATTTCAATCAGCCACAGTTGCTGATTCTGATGTTCTGTACGACACTACTGACTGCATATACCTACTGCTTTCACTAGTACGCATAATTCATTGTTGCCCTTGTTCACACATTAGGCATCCTAAATTGAGGATGTCACCGTCGGAAATTTGCATTATAATGACCGGAATGTCCCCGCAAAGCCGCAGCGGCTTTGTTTTGAGCGTTGCGTTTACATTGTAGGGATTTGTGCTGCGCGCAATCCTATTCATTGTTGTTGTACCTGCTTGTAGTCATTCGTCATCCCGATGGCTGCGACTGATGATGGCTTCTTTTCTCTGTCCCCGTTGCAAAAAAGTGCAGGGCAGCATATACGTTGTGTTTTGCAATACATGGCGTATTTTATTTTCTCGAATACCATACTTTCATCCTCGAACTGTCTACGTTCCCGTGCAACAATTCATCAGAAATAAAGCCACATCCGACAACACCCTGCAGCGATGTATAGCATACTCTATTAAGATTTCCTCTGGTCCATTATTGAAAATCTGCTGAAGAGACCAAGAGAGACAATCAAAACGAGTTCAATGAACGTTCTCTTCTGAGTGATTTCCATTCCTTGCGCGATTGGAAATGCAAATCTCCCCCAAACGAGAATGTGTCAGTGTAATTGGAATTCTGGAAGAATTCCAGAATTCCAATTACAATGGAACATTCACTCTACGCGAACTACGGGGTGGGCAAACAAATTCCGGCCCAATTTTCAATTGCACATAGCTCAAAAACTATTGAAGCCACAGGCTCGAAAAAACAGCAAATTAAATCTTGTTCCTTTCTCTTTGAAGTAGTCTATAGGTTCATGGTAATACGTGCCATGGCATGGCCACCATGGGCATTTGAATCAACCATGACAGAAAAAAAGTTGCAAGGTGTTGCTACTGCTACAGGCGCCTTTGTTCTGTCCTGCTGTGAAGAGGGGAAGACACAGTTCAATGGCTGGCTACGTTTTCACCCTCCCGAGTCATCTCTTCTAATACCACATCATTGTTATGCTGAAACGTGCATGAACAGCCGACCAGCACTCCAAGCTTTCAGCAGAGAAGCTCAGCTCACTTCGCATTGCGATCCCGTAGCAACGATGTTTGCTCTCCCTTCCACGAGAAATTGCCGTGTGCATGCTTCATCTTAGCGTCAGTTTTCACTTTTAAATTTTTTAAATTTTCTTCCTTAGGGCCAAAAATGACAAGTGTCCACCGAGGGTTATCAAAGAGTGATAAGCATCTCATATGTGCACTTTGTAAAAAAAATAGAAACATTCCTTGAACCAAATTCTGAAGCGTCGAAGAACTGATTCTGAGTCAAGAAGGAGAGCCTGGAACAAGCAAAAGTGTGCGCAAAGTGTTAAAGCAGACTGGGAAAAAGCGTTCGTCTGTTCGGCGGATAGTGAAGGATGACCTGAAACTGAAGGTTTTTAAGCCGGTTTCTGTCCATGCGCTCTCATCGCCAGTGAAGCATAAACGCCATGAACGATGCAACAAACTATTGAGCCGGTTCCGTAGCAACAAAGCTGTGCAGAAAATCTGGTTTTCCGACGAGAAGAGTTTCACTGTTGAAACTCCAAGGAACACGCAGAATGGCCGAGTTCGTGCTACAGGGAGAAAAAATGACGTTGATCCAGCCCGACTTCTATGTGAACGGAAGCACTTTTCCCAGTCGTCATGGTTTTACTTGCGGCCTTTTCGTCAGGGAAAACTTCGATCATCTTTATTGCTCGCGGGGTTAAAATCAATGCCAAGATCTACTGCGATGAGGTTTTGACTCCCATGTTGGCTGAAATCAAGGAGAAGTGCCCAACATTTGTCTTCCAGCAAGATGGAGCTCCAGCGCGCCCTGCCAAGGAGACCATGGCCTTTCTCAAGAGGAACTGCCCTGCCTTCATTGAGCCTGAGAACTGGCCACCATGCAGCCCAGATTTGAACCCGGTTAATTACTTAATCTGGTCTGCTTTGGAAAATAAAGTTCATCGAGGTTGAAAAATTCGCGACCTTGAACACCTGAATGAGAGGATTTGTGCAGCCTGGGAGGAGCTTCCCCAGACTTGGATTTTAAAAGCCATTTCCAAATGGCGCAAGCGATTGAGTGCTGTAGTGGGTGAAAATGGTGACCACATTGAGCACTTTATCGAAAAGTGAAATTTAAGGTTATTTCTTACTGCAGAAAAATGCATTTTTGTTTTTTCCTCAATTTACAACTTTTTTCAGTCATGGTTGATTCACATGGCCATGTCGGCCATGCCATGGTACTTTTTATCATGAACCTATAGACTATTTTAGAGAGGAAGGAACAAGCTTTAATTTGCTGTTTTTTTCGAGTCTGTGGCTTCAATAGTTTTTTTAGTTATGTGCAATTAAAAATTGGGGCGGAATTTTTTGGCCCACCCTGTACACTCTACGCCAGTATTCTGCCGTAGAGTGTTGAGGGGTTTCTACCGATGGGCAATCCAACGACATGCATAGAAAATCGAAGAAAGTTCAAGGTCCATTCTACGATGAAAACGTAATTGTTTTTTGACTTGACGGATATTTTCGGAACAAGGCGAAAGTAATGTGGTTCAGTCCGCAGAGTTTTTGCTGGTATGGATTACATGGTTTGACGCCTTCAGCCGCTTCTTTCCCTAGAAACCACGAGCCGTAACCACGAGTAACGAGATATTATGGATCTGGTTGAGAGTAGCTGTCGTCTCGACGGAACAGTTCGGAAGAGCTAAGGTTCTCGTAAGGTTAACGTAAGTTAAATATTTCCCTCATAAGAACGTCTCTTGTCTTCGTTGGGAGTAACGAGTACGACTTTAAGACATTCCCTTGTATGAAGGAGTACATTACGGCCGCACGACGACATTGAACATCTTTCGAAATGAATGATCCCTGCACCGTAAAAGTCGTACAATATTGAGAATAAGGCTGCAGTTTCCTCAATATTCTCCATAAGGAGGAAAGAAAATGGAGGACGTCATGAATTTCCTCCTGTTTTCCTTTACTCACGAAAAGCCAAAACTTCCAGCTCAGGACATGCCTATATACTAAATCAACCTCTCGAGGACTCTAGAACAAATAGGTCCCTAAAAGCACTATGGGTGCTGATGTATTCTACACTTCAGGGTTCTGTTTTATCGCGTACATCATAAACTGGCAAAGGAAAGCTTTTTTTCTGCAGGAATCATCTCTTGACATCTTGGATTTGACTTCACTGAGCTCTCCATTTTGCTCTCGTATCAATTCCAAGATAGAAATTCATTCCAGAAATGCATAGAAATGTGAACGAGTTCATGGCAGTCACAAAACTTATAGTAGCTGCCGAAATAGTTTATAACCGCATCGTAAAAGTACTCCGATTTCAGGATTGAGACTATTTTTCAGCTGCTTCCATGCTTTTCTCAAGAAAGACTAGACTAGACAAAGGAAAAACGTAAATTACATAAATTACGTTAACGTAAAGGTAAACGTAAATAATCCCTTCAGCGGTACAGATGTGAACGAACTTGCTAATGACTTTTAGTCGAGAAACAATTCTTGCATTTAGAAACAGTTTTTTTTCCCATTCAACGATTTTCATGACATCGTCTCCTCTCAAATGTAAAATCAAGCTATTTATGGCATTACAATTGAGTACGTTGGGTTCGTCTTGAGAACTACGCACTTGATCCCACGAAGGCGTTAATAGGAGTAAGGACGGGACCTACCCGTTATTTAATCATGGAGGGCGCATCCATTATTTAGAGAGTTTTCAGAGAAATTTTCTAGCGGTCGTAGATCTATTACCCGCACACACATTCCCATTACCGTAGACTCTCTTTCAATATCCGGTTGTATTCAATACTATGCTCCAACTTTAATTCGATGTTGGGAGAGGACATTTCCTGGAGCACCATTTCCTTTCTCGGATATGCACGGGAAGAGTGTAAGATTGCGTACTTAACCAATTAGTATCCAGGATATTTTCGGCACATCCGACATAAAAGTATGCTGTCTTAGCTTGACGCGCGAGGCGTAGAAGCCTATGCCTTTCTAGACAATAGGCTATGCGGAAGGACATTGACAATACGTACTAGTACGCTGTGGATGCGAATGGATTATTTATTCCTAGTACAAATGAGCATGACTGGTTACGTAGATAACGATCCGACTTGGAAACCACAGTGTATTTGGACAATAAAACGAGGAATGGCTC